GTGGAGAATGAAAATTCGATTGATACAAAAAGCAACATTCTCCAACACCTTTTTATCAGACAGATGACGGATATTTCGCCTTTCCATATTCTGGTTTCCGTATTCGATTACATTCAATGCGGAAAGATGACCGGCGATTTTTTGCTTACTATTTCAGTCGTACGTTTCCGCATGCAAGTATTAATTAAGCTTTATGGTTAAATTAGGAGATTGCTCAAAATAGTATAGTTTGAAAGACTAGCATGTTAAAACCTCAGTTCCTTTTGTGAGAGGGAAAAGTAATGAACGACGATGATGATAATTGTACAGTGAATATTATTTCAATGATTCATTTTCAGAAGCGAGTAAGGAATACAGTAGTAGTAGTACAGTCAATATCTTTATTATATACAACAGTTTGTACATGCCAGGCTCCGCATGGCACTACCGGGAATGAAAACCAGATACAGTAGTTGTTAACTTGTTTACAATACAGGAATTACAGAGATAACAAGAAGTAGGTTGGAATAGTATACAATAGTTGATACAATGGTGATGCAGGTATAGCAATGATGTTGTAGTTAAATACAACGATTATGTAGTTAATTACAATTTGTTTACAGTATAAGGTAAATACAGAATTACAAAGTGATGGATTTTGAAAGCTATACAAGTACAGACACTATGCAATATTACAAGTGTTAATGTAAAATAAAACATAAGTGTATGAGTGTAGAAGGAAAAGCACATAAAATACATAAAATTGAGTACAATACAGCAAATAAAGTAATGATACATTATAATAGAGTGTAAAATACAATTTAAGTATAGAATACAGTCGACCCCGCTATAACACTTGATAATTCCGTTTTATAAGAATTTCATGTTGTAAGAGTCACTTAGATTTTACAAATACGTGTGCCGGGCTGTGAACGGCTCACGTATTTGTAAAATCTAAGTGACTCGTACAACATGAAATTCTTATAAAACGGAATTATCAACAGTGTTATAGCGGGGGTCGACTGTACTAATTAAAACCAAGATTTTCTTAGTTTAACAAATGATACTATAATTGATTTTTACGAAGTTATTTATGGGAAAATTTTCATTAAAATTATTCATCAAAAATATCATTATTTTTTAAAAATAACATTACAAAATTAACACCCATTATTTAAAGAATTTGTCTATATAAAAACATTCTAATACGAGTTAATTTTTAATTTTATTTTTGTTTTTAATTGATGATAATTTAAAAATGATTTTAACAAATATTTTTATATTCATAATCATTTTTGTCCGAAATTTATATCAATTGAACTAAATGATTTAGGCATATTTTTTAAAAACAGTAATATTTTCGGTTTTTAATATGAAAAATCATAGTATTTTGAAGGTTTTAGATAAAGTAATTAAATAAAAATGTAATTTACATTGAATATATAATTATTATATGTCAACATATTAAGAAATTTTATATATGTTTTTTATATATCTAGATTACAGCTTTGGAAATATGTCGTATTTTAAATTATTGATAAGTTTTCATGTGTGTTTAATTTTTCAATCCTAGTTTTATATTTTTTCTTTTTAATTGTTTCATGTTTTCTTAGTGCCTATGAGACTCGGCATCAAATCAAGTTCGATTCGGATCTTCGTAATTTTTCATTAATAATTTAAATCTAAACTTTTTCTCCTTGTCTTCTGTTAGACGATTTCATTACGAACAATCTTATATCCTCAGCGAGAAAATTTAAAATTGATAAAATAATTTATTGTATGCTAAACCTTGTACTAAAATTTTAACTCTGTTGCTCAAATGAATAAAATTGTGAAAATTTTGTATGATGTAGGCCTGTATGTTATACATAATAAGTTTTAGAAGTTTTGCATGACAAATTTCATGATGTACAGTGTTTATTTTCGATCTGCTTTAAAATACAAACCATAAAATTAAATGAGAAAACATCCTAATTTAAAATTACTAGGAAAAGTTCATTTTCTAACCGAATATACGAACTCAGAATTGAGTCAAAGCACTACAAAATCAATAATATTACTTCGAGGACATCTACGACGATCATTTGCCGTTACTGACGTAAAAAGGAATAAAAAATTGCCCGCGCTCATACTAGCGAACTTGGACATTGTCACTTTGACTTCACTAGTAAAGTTCCTATATCCCGTTCGGAAATGTCTCGAACAGAGGGCCTTCTCCCACTTACGAATAAGTGTCCTTATGATCCAAATTTATTGGTCACTCCTTTATTTTACACATATATCCGGATCGCACTATCGTAAGAATCCGTAGTGACCAAACATAAAATTTCTCTCTCTTCAAGTTTAGACAAGGCTTTCTGTTATATTTTTTTTTCTCTCGCTCTCTCTCTCTCTTCTTTATTTTTGGAGTCCGGTCGAAGTTCTCCTTTTCTTATCGTCGTCGTTCTTTTTAAAGGATTCTTCAAGCCTAACGATTGTCCAATCCGAAGCTGGGCTAGTAGCGTTTCTTTAGGTCCGCTCATACTTGAAACTCCTGATAAACCTGATAATATGTTTCGCGCTGAACTGACCCCCTCCGGAAAAGTCGATCCTTCCAAACGAAAGACCAAATCGCTTTGTTCTTTGGATAGTTTCATTAGGCCTACATGACATAACTGTATCTCAAAAATGAAATTATGAACTACTCCGATTTTATTACATTTTTAATTTGCTAGTCTCAGACTATGTAAAATGACAAAGTTTAATTAAAAATCGACCGATCAAATTTTGAAAAACAAACTCAATTCTATAAGCCTATAGAAAAGGCTTCGTTAACGCTACTTCTCAAAAAATGAATTTAATAAACATTTTTTTTGTTGCTATTTTAAATTTTGTTCTAGTTTTCTGCAGTTGTTCTCCTTCAATTATTTATCGTTGTTATTTATTTTCGAATTATTAAATTTGAAAAAAATGTAGACCTATAAATTCCCTCTGCCTTTCCTTAATCTCGAAAACAGAGTTAAATAGATGAAAGACAAGACGAGACATGAAAACCGTAGGAGCAGGAAGCCCCGATTAATTATATAACTTCCGATGAAAACTGGAAGTCACGTAATTTCAATTCAAAATTTTTCCCTGAAAGGTGTTAGATAGATGACAGGCATGACTCTATTGCTAACAGGAAAAGAATGCTGCACAGGGGCAAGACACTACTAATTTGAAGTGGAGAGAATATATTTTAAATTAAATAAATTAAAAATATGATTAAAATTCGCAGCCCGGCATTATGACGATGTCGTAATAATTTTTGCTCTTTTTGTAGACTATATTTAATTTTTATTGACAAATTATTTCTACAAAACGAAACTTTATCAAATACAGTATAATTATTAATAACGTATCAATTACAATTTTCAAACTGTGTTTTAATATGATTTTAATCTTAGTATTCATTTATAATAACGTTTCTTTACATAACTCGGTCGCAAGTCATTTTCAATTTGAATTGTGTTATAACTTGTTTATATTACTATAATATATTTGATAACTATTTTGCAATATTAATTAAAGTAAAACATAAATAATGGTAAATAATTGTTCAATAATAAATTTACTTATATCATTAATGCAAATGCAAAGTGATCTCAGTTTAAAGTTATCATTGAATAATTCATTTATCATAAGTGATACTTTGTGCATAATAAATAATAATTTTATAATATCTAATTTTAAATTTAATTATAACGAATTAATTGCAATGATAAATCTATCGGTTAGAATGCTCTACAGTAGAGAAATACCTTTTAATAATTAAATAAAATTCATGAGATTGTGACTAGATGAATGTATCCTACCAAATTTATTGATCATGCAGTTTATAAATTCTTATAGATCTAAATGCAAAATGGTACTTCGGTTATTTTAAAATACTGGTTTATGTTGATTCTATGGCTATTTTGTCAGGAAAGACTTGAATCGTAATTGCATTCTCATGTAAACTATTCTACACCGAGATAAGTACATTACAATGCAGATAGAATCTGCGAAAAGGTCATAAAGTCAAATACGGATATTTTCGAGTGTTAGACCTTTGGGATAGAAATTTTTATTTGTCTTATAACGTTATTTTATTTTTATTTGTAAGTAAGCAGAAGACTAGAAAATTGTTAAAATTAAAAAAATAAAAGAATAAAAACTAAACATTTTACTAATTAAAATGTTTACCAAAAGCTTAATCTTTTAAAAATTCTTTAAACTGAAAGATTATAAAGTTTGTAATGATAATTTCTCTCTCTCATCCTTACCATTAATCATCATATATATATATATTATTATGATATTTTTATATTTATATAATATATTCTGTTGTGACCGTAAAAACATTTTTAATCGCTTAATAAAAAATTATTAGTAATATACNATATTTATTTATTTATTATTATATTATATTTCAGAATCCTTTTCTATTTAATTTATCAATTTAATCTTTTCAGTTTGACTGTTGTTATAGTATAGACCTATATATATTTGTATTCTGTTATGCACCTATATACGGTAGTATAAAGGTGCATAACAGAAGAAAATTTAAAATAATAGAAAAATTCAATGATAAAAACCAAGTAAAAACTCTACAAATCAAAAACAATATTTAAAAAAAAAAAAACTCTACAGGCAATGCTTAAAATACATGAATTGCTTTAAAATAATTCTGTTGAAAACAAGTATTATGAACTAACCATTGTTACTAAATTTTTACTCCCATGTTTAATCTTTATTTAATCTTTAACGTATTTATTTAATACTCTATATTCTCTTTAAATTTTTATTTTATTCATTTTACTATACATTGATAATTTAATAAAAATAAGGCGCATTATTAAAATAATTTCCAAACATGTTTAATTTAAAATGTTAATGTGTTTGTATATAAAAAGAAATATATCATTTTTTAAAATAATATATTAAAATTGTTGTATTTATAATTCATGTAAGTCAATCTGAAACTAAAATATTTTTATTTATTATTTATTTATTTATTTTAGTATTTGCAACTGCAGCCACAAGTTCAGTGAAAAGAGAAACTGACATACCTATACATAAAAACATCACACTACTAATTCCTGTTATCGTATCAATAACAGTTGTTTTCATTGTTATAATAATCGTTGCTGTTTGTTTGAGAAGATATCTTCACGATGGAGTAAATCATTCCAGTAATGGTAATTATTATTTTTATTATAGTTAAATTCTATGTATATCTGTCGAAAACTAAAGATTTGATATTGTTATTTCTTTAACTGTATTAACAATATTTTTAAAATTCATTATTTAAGGTTATCATTCGCGTAAATCATATGACGAAAATCTAATGATGGCAGAAGTTAGCCAAAAAATGACAAGTCAACAGTCAATGAAAGAAAGAGGAATGTATTGCGCTTCACCCACACACGGACAAGGACCAAATGTTATATCCGAACAATCAGGTAAAAATTTATTTCTACTCGCATTATTAAACAGGATGTTAATTAATAAAAGCATACTTAATATAGTAACTAGTGCACACTATGTTTAGTGAAACAAAATCATAGTGAACATTAGGTCAAAATCTAAACCGTTTTTGAGATAAATTCTAAAACCGACAAAGACTTGAAATTCTTGAGCGAGATTGCGACTCTAAAATGTGACATCAGGCGTGCATGAAAATGGGAGAGGGCGTGCAAAAGACCTTCTGTAAATATCGTGATAAATATTTGGCAAGATTATCTTGTCTTTTCATGTCACATGCGACACGTAGAAGCCAATAATTCAGTGGTCAATATACAACAATTACTGTATTAATATCCCAGAAACGGTTAAGTTTTCGACTTATGTTTACTAAGGTTTTTAAACTCAACATGGTGTTATTATCTAAATGCTAGATGCTTTTTTAAACACTTCTGTATTTATTCTGTAAAGCTTCATTTTAACGTTATCTTGATATTAACAGACATGACAACAGATAACCATCAGTATGCTGAACCGTATACGTCAGTTCCTCCACCACGTAGAGTTACAATCGAAGGTGATTTCAGATCGTCGATGTCTCAAAGAGTGAGTTTAATACGCTTTAATTATACGTCATGAGTTTAATTGAATAAGCGAATTAATTGAACATTAATCATCTTTAGCCTTCCATGGATGGTACTTTTGCTACAATAAAACGAAATCCTTCTAGACCAGCATCCCGTGCCTCTGTATCTGTACAAGGTAAGTTATTTGTTTCTGTTAATACTTCATTCAAAGATTGATCAGGATACAATTTATCTAATGGGTAATGAATGATTAAGTATTAGTTCATTATTCCGGACAAACTTTATTCTGATCAAATTCCTTTACGTGAATGAAGTTTAAGAAACAAATAAATTATAACAATAGCATATACGTAATTATTAAATCTTAGGAAAAATCATTATCAAATTTACAGAATATCGTCACATAAATAAGAAGATGAATGAAATATGTGTTATGTAATCCCAGGGCTTGATTATCACGTCAGCCATCAGATGATGATACATTCCGAGAAGAGCGAATACAGCAGTAATTCAAGTCAGTCAGAAGGCAGTGCAGACAAGTCAAGCAGCCAATCAAGCGGAAGTAAAAGACATTTAAGATGTCAATGAATTTATTAAAATTCTCTAAAGAGATGTTTTCTTTTGTACGACGACAAATATGGATTCCAAGTGTAATTTTAAATTGTCTCTCACGTGTTTTTTTATTAGAAATGCGTGGATGTGTACAGAGTATGGAGAATAAACATGTTTTGATTAAAATCTCTATTGGTTTTCCATTGTTTTGATAGAAATGTTTTACTTAAAGTAATATTTTATTTTTATTTTTTAAAATTTTAAACAATTTGAACGCTATTGTTTTTGATGTAAGAAAATCCGACAATCTGCATACATTTTTATTAATTTTCTGACGAGTAATCCCACCTGGCTTTCTTCAGATATTACCTGTCAAGGTAGCAAAATCATATTGTACAGAACTTCTTTAACTCAAACTACGTTGAATAATAATATTAAAATTAGAATTTAAAAAAAATTATTCATCTATTAAATAACATTAAATATAATGTTTTATATTCTAGTTAACATATTATTTTTTTAAATATTTGCATTTTATATCCATGTTTTCTTGAAGTTGTCATTTAACAGGAGCAATACCTTTTTTAAAAAAATTATTTTCATGTCATTAATACATGAAATAGAAATCGATTTTAAACAACAGATATTGGAAAAAACGCAAGACAAATCTAAAGATAATTTCTTTTGTAATAAAATTTTATAACTATTATTTAAATTGAGGCGCATTAATAATTCATTTTCTTTTATCGTGAAATTTTAAATAAGATGCAAACATTGAATAAGTTTTAATCTTATTTAAAAAGTAATAAAATAAATATTAATTTTTAATTTCAATATACTCTGCTAAGGAAACAATTATGTATTAAATTACCCTAACAAAAATATAAATTTAACATTGCTTGTGCCGATTGCATTATCATAAATTAATTTATCTAATTGTAATTAGATAACTTATAAATTAAGATATATATATTATATATTAACAACAACAAGAGGCTAAATCAATTGCATTTGAAGAAAGACTCTTAAATATAGTTAAGTGTAACTTTCAATTTAGAAAATAATACTTTGAAAAAAAATAATAATAATAAATTATATAAAATATTTAACAACTCTGCTTACACTATTAAATTTTAAACAATATTCACTGTATTATATAACATACAAATTGGTTTGTGGCAAGAATTTTAATTATATAAGTAAATGCAAAATTACAAGTAAAATATTCTCTGTTTGATATTGGATAGAAATATTTAAAATTGTTATTTAATTTTTTAAGATTCAAATAAAATGAGTAAATTTAATTAATTTCTAGGAAAAATTAATTATAACAAACAATTTAATTATTATAAAAACGAAAATCGTATATTAAAAAGAAATTATTTTGAACTCAACAACTGGTTTTTGAATGTTTCTATGCTTCTGTGTATTACTGATTATATCAGCTTATCGCTATCAAAAATTGTCATATTATAATCTAAGAGCATTTGATGATAAAATATGCCTAGAAATATAATTACATCACAATTCTTGATATCAATCAATTATAGTTCCAATGTAAATGAAATTTTCGCTGTAGGCTATATGCACCATTTGTCAAATTTTCGTATATTAGCGCAGATAAAGCGAAAAACATCATTATCTAACAAAATTTCGATATTTTTAATAAGAAATCTTGTTAACTGGAGAAATGATTGAATCACAATCTTAATTTATTTTTTTATAATTTGTAATTCCACACCAATTCACTTTTGTGCTATACATTAAAAAGTTATTTCTGTAATAAAGTATATTTAACGATTAAAATTTCGATCAAGATATCATACTTAAAATCTAAATGAAAGTTTTCGTAAATTTTATTTACATTTATTTATTCGTATTTATTATTATGAGGTTGAGTGTACCCAAGGGTCTAGACTAAAAAAAAAGGAACAGAGTGAGATGAAAATTTGAGAAAGAGAATAAAGATTGAATATTCCAATAGGATACTGAGCAGAACGAGCGAATCAAAAACTATGAAAATAAATACGAATTTTGTTTAGATGTTTATGAGGTAGTTGTATGTTAATTACGTAACGTAGTCTAACAGTTTCAATATAAACATAGTAAGATATAGGGACATTATAATGAAAAGACAATATAAATCCTTTGTAGTATTTACAAGATTCTGGAAGATAGAAAAGTAATAAAGCCACTGGATTCTCATAACAAAATAAAAATTTATATACAAAGGATGATAACATACACCGTTTTACAAAAAATAAAACTGTTTTCCTCATATTTGTGGAAACAATAACGTAGAAATATACAAATTAAATACAATATTTGAATAAAATAAATTAGTATAAGAACCCGTCAAAATAAATACATGATACTGTAGTTGTAAATACAGTAAAAGTAACAGCTTTACTCTGTCATTTTATCATTACAGTGTAGAGTAGAATAGTACAAAACAAAAACTGTATACGGTTTATTTATTGTTAGGAATTTATATTTTTCACGTTAAAAATAAACATTTTAATTATGAAATTTATTGTCCACTTAAATTCCTCATCTTTTGTAATGATTTTTAATAATAAAAACAAATTTTTTAGTTCGTTTATGTATATTTTTACATGAAATTTATACTCAATATAATTTTTGAATTTATTTACAATAAAAGTAAGTTATATGTTATGCTATATTTTTTAAGAATTGATAGGATCATATTATTAACCCAATACGGAATATTACGGTATTGCTGTTGGAGTTTAAAATTTCTTAAAATTGCTCATATATGAAAAAAGTTCATCAATACTTACTGAAATCGTTCTGGTACAGAAAAACTACTAACAAGTAAGTTAGAAACACAAAACCACTTACAGTTATATACTAATACTATTTAAATAATTATAAATTGTTTAATTTCAAATACCTAATTATTTATATTTTTATTTTTTTCTGCGATGCAGGAAAACACAAGACAAAAGTTTTTAAAAATTCTACTAATTACAACTAATATATCTAGCTCAGAATCCAACCTTTCCTTTAAAGTCTAATAGGTTGCTTTCAAATAACACTAAGGCAAAGCCATGCAAAATTATGTGAATAAACTGACATTACTTAAAAATTCGCAGGGCTTTCCACATTTCAATAATGCTTCAATACAGCAATTAAACATCACAATAAAAACGTATAATAATAATCTTGTATAATAAAAAACAACGTGAAATAACTAATGAATTAAAAATTTCCCTTCAGTATATGTAGTTTTACAAAAGTATATTGCAAAAGGAGACGTGTGTAAAATGATGTAGTTGATCACGAAAGAACTATCAGTGACCGAATGGATAAAACCACTGAACATGGTAGCTTAGTCGTGGATTCGTGCCTCGCCCTCACCGAGCTGTTTACGTTTTCCGGATTTTCTTCACGTTACTAACATCTAAATAGGAGCCTGTCTCTCTTAGAAAGTCCTCCGGGAGCATCTCCTCTCGGCAAATCGCCCATGTGTCCCGTTGCCGTATACAAACAAACAATTACAAAAGGCAACAAAAATGATAATCCGTATTCAGTTCATATTATGAGCATAACTTCAATGCAAAAAACATCACGACAAACTGCCCGCCAATGATCTGCAGACATTACAAAATTTTATTAATTAAAAGGTAATCATGGTCATATTGGTAGACAGCGCGTCTATCAATATGACGACAATTACATTGAAATATAAACATTAATGTTTTAGACTGACTTGCAAACTCACTGGGAGAGAGAATATGTGAGTAATAACAAAAAGCATATTCTGCTAGAAGATACTCGCAAAATCAATCTGGCTCTCTTGTAACTGCAGGCAAAAGTAGAAAGTTTCTAGTGTAAAGTCACTAAAGACGAATGCCAAAAGTTTGTATAATCAGTGTCAAATCGTATTAAAGTATTCTTACCGTTAAAAAGAAAATGTTACGAAATATTAATGCCGTTATCACTAAACTTTCGTCTGTGAAAATGGCGACTGCTAAACTTTTGACTTTTGTTTAGTTAAATTGCCACATTATAAAAAATTAAGTTTGTCTTTTGTTGACGTCCAATTGACAGCGTAAATTATTATGTGTTTTGGCGATTAAAAGTGTAATATTTAATTTGCACGAGAACAATAAAGTTGCAATTTACTCCTTCAGTAAGTGTTGCTAATCTTGTATTGTGGGGTTGTATTTTTTATGCGTATACAATAGACTGTTACAGATTACAGATTTGTACAGTGCCAAATACTTTTCACTTTTTAATATACAATGTTTATTATTTTGTCAATCTATTTAGCAATAATATAAATTCAAAATGATACTTATTTTGTTTCTGAATACTGTAAATACTAATGTTAAACTTGATCGATCATTTCATCTATACAAATAATATAAAAATTGATAAACCGAATTTTTATAAATTATATTAATTATGGACTTAAACATGTCATCTAGTAGTTGCATAGAATCTCGGGCTACAATTAAAATATAATAGACTTCTGTAACTATTAAACAGTTTAAATGATATTGAAAAACTCTTAATATTTTGTTTTTCATACTCAGTTTACTGCAATATTCCCTAAAACTAAAAATGTGAAATCCTCATGTTAACCTATAATTTTAATATGAGGATCAGGATTCATTCAATTAACAAAAATTACAGTAAAACTCTATTTCCTTTATTAATGATATTTCTGAGGTGCAAAATAAGCAAAGACCCGATGCATCGGTACAAAAAGGCACAAAGCCGAGACATCAAATTCTTGAGATTCGGATTGCGAAGAGAATCGAATCTCATCAGATCCCGGATCATCCGAGCTGTTGATGTCACTTTGCTTCGTGTGATGTGCTAATAACATTTTATCCTAGGACAAATCAGCAAGTAAAAAGACTAGGAGGAAAAGGAAACGAGTTCGACACAGATACATCGAGAAGTCGAATTTGTGTTCTCTAGTTTTGTGTGCTTCAAAAGATCTGTTACGTAAACATCCAGGTAGCATTGAGGCATCTCACTACGCGAGTCTCTTTTTAATTACCGAAATTGTAAACTTTTTGCTGTTAGTTAACGCTTCCTGTGACCGGAAATGAACGCCTTATAGTAAAATCGTTTGTTGATTTTAATATATGGTGTAGATGAGTCATCATTCATTCGGAACCGC